CGTTCGGCGGATAGTGGTTGCAAAAATATACAAAATGTTTCACATTTTTTTTCATTGGGCACCTTCATGAAATGACTTGTGAATATGTCGAATGTCAACCGACGACCCCGTCGGCGGTTGTCCATTGTGCTTGACCTTCACCTTAAGCAAGATCAAAATTGTCTTCGTACGACCGCTCTTCCTCCTTGTTCTCCTTGAAATGTATGCTCTCATGAATTTCATCAATAGATTTAAAGGCGCGTTGGACCTCCGGGCCTCAATGTGATCGGGTAGACCCGAAACGTCATGGTATATCGTCAGCGTCGGAACATGTGGATTTTTTGAAAGAAATAGATGGGGAAAAAGGAGCTAGTGAATTGGGCAATGAGTGGAGAGACTTTGAGTACATGATTCAAGAAGTCCCATTTCTTTCTTAAGGGACGTGGACCTTGTTTTGAGGGAGGGAGGGATAATTTTTTATTCATATGACAAATATAAACTTTTTTATATGACGAATAAAATGGATGGTATCTATATATATATAAAAGCAAAACAGCTGTAAAAAGTTTTGTTTTCCCTCCCATTTTGTATTAAATGTTATTCATTAATGGTTTGATCAGTTCAATAAATATTGTCCAAAAATGTAAAGTTCTATTGGAATTATTTATACTAGACAATATTATTGGGAACTAGTATGTAATCCCGTGCGATGCACGGGTTGTATTTATTTTGGCAAAATTTATAATTAAATTATTAATCAATAAGTTATAATATATAGTGTATTTGTTAGGTAATCGCAAAATATTCGTCATGAAAAAGTCATACATTATTAAAACATCGTCATTTTTCCATGCAAAATTATTTTGCACTTGGCAACCGTAGACCGTTATTTACCAAGATTGCTCTCCAATTGGTAATTGCGAACTGCATAGACACCTTCTTACTTTTTTTTGTTGCTCTCCAAATTGAGATTGTATCAGTTTATTCCTAAAATTCTAGATGTATCAGTTTATTCCATAGATCAATATCTAACCAAATTTTAAAAAGTGAATAAAAATCGGATTGTATCAATTTATTCCTAAAATTATGAATGCTCATTAATTTCTTATCCCAAATTGTCCTAACATTCTAAATTTAGCATGTAATTAATGAAATTGGCGGGAAAGAGTTTCTAAAAGTGAATTATGTTAATCCTTATTATATATTAATAGATATTGAATAAATTGACAATTGTTTAGAATGTTGTGCTAATTCTACACATCTCAATACAATTAATAATGGGATCAAACAAAAAGTAATACAATGATTAATGTTAAATTATCTATTAATTGTCCACAATTGTTTAATCCATTAAATTTTCAAAACCATCCATTTGAGTTTTTCAATTATAAAATCATAATATCTTTCATTATAGAACCACAACATAAGAACCTAATGTAGTCTTAATTTTATTTATACATCTTTCACATTCGTGGGTCATTTTGAAATTGTAAATTCTTAACTACATAATATAAAACCTATCATAGTTAATAATATAAAGCGGCAAAATAAAAGTTAATAGAACTTAGAAGATTAAAATTTGTCATTTATATATGATGTCTTTATGTTTAATTCATTGAGTAATTTTTTTCGCTAAAAAACATTATAATAACTAAACATAAAATTATAAATATTGACTTTTATTCTCAAAATTAAAGGTATAAACATATCTATACAATTAGAATATCAATAAAAATATTTTTCTTTCAAAACTTCATTTATGTTTATGAGCACGACATGTTTGTATTAAAACTTATTATACATATAAACAAATTAAATAGAAGAAGATACAATGAGAAAGCGATGACAAATATAATAAAAGTTTGATCTTACATATAATATAGTTTATTAAATTAGAAGAGACATATTGTTCAAAACAATGTATATTATCTAACATTTACTTCTAACATGATATGTCATTAAAACAATGAGTACAATCATTAGTCAATAATTAAGTTCCTACATAATTATGCTTTGGACTTGCACTTCGATTTTCATGGCTTTGAAATAATTTTTTAAATCCTATGTGGATAATTCAAACAATAAAAATAAATATTTGTACACTTAATTCAAAATAATGCATTTATCAGTGTAGATTAGTTTATGTATAAATATATTATGATATTATTATAATTTAGTATGGATTACAAATAATATACTTTAATAATAAAATAGAATATTAATTGTTTACCACAAAATAAAAATAACTATGTTTACTATTGATGATATTTCTCAATTATCTAAATTTCGATACAAGAATTCATTAATCTGGTTAATAACAAATTGCAAACTTTCAAATAATATTTTATATATTGTCATTTTATTTTCTAATAAATTTCTTTGAATAATAAAAAAATACAAAGAGAGAGAGAGAGAGAGAGAGAGAGAGAGAGAGAGAGAGAGAGAGAGATGGAAAATAAAATTATATTTGTCATAGTAATGTATTTATTTAACTAAAAAGAATATATTTTTAATAATAAAATAGTATCATCTACGGGTACTGAGGATGAACTTGCATATCCATATGAAACGTATCTCGAAAATAGTGAATAACTTTTACTTGGACAAAAAGAATTATCTGAATTTAAGTTCCTTTAACAAATATCAACCAAGAATATGAAAAAAATGAAAGTAAAGAAAAAAAAAGACAACATATAATTCGAACATGACATTAAAATTTGATTGTATTTATGGGTAAAAAATACATAGATATTTCACATATGATATTCTTAAAAATTGAAAAAAAAAATAGAAATATTAATGTACAAAAGAGAGAATTACATGATTTTAGAGAGGTTCAACTCATGTTTTTCATTGTGAAGACTGGAGATAATTCATATTGGTTTTTGTGTGATTGGAGGTGATCCAAAAATACAAAGTTGGTTTTATTTTGTTTATTTTTAGCTGGTGTAATTTATTTTATTTCGTCAAAATCTTAAAGAGGCTATCTAAACATATGTACATAATTTTTGCCATCCTTTTAATTTCTTTAGAGGTCTAGAATTATACAACTATAATTCCTGAAAGAAAAGTATAACAGATGAATTTATTGTTTAATTTTCTATTCGTATATATTTATATATATTGTTTTCGTAAGAGTGATGAGAATATATCGAATTTATCAAAATATTGCGACAAATAAAGTTTCGTACAATATACTACAAATGCAATAACTATTTTCTTTTTTATCGTATATATCACAAGGTTTAGTTTTACTTTTTATTGTTTTAGAGTTATATACTATGATTTAAATATTTTATTCTTATTATTTTACAATAATTCTATCAACATGTATTTAATAAGTTAAATTATAATTCTCATAAGTTCAATGCAAAATAAATTTCGGCTATTGATATAAGTAATGACGGTGATAATCTTCATTGTTACCTTAATATAACCTAAGATTATAAAGAAACAAAAATCTTGAAAGTATATATTAAAATAATAACTTGATATATTAAAATAATAACTTGATATATATACACATTTATATTTATATATTATTACTTTTAAATATACATTTACTGTCACAATTTATATACAAAATAAAAATTAGATGATTAGTGTTTGAACATGGATCAAAATTTATTTTCATTTGCGGGTAAAAAATAGATTAATATTGCAGGATAATATTATAAAATATAAAAGAAAGAAAATTAAGAAATGATAGCAAAAAGAGTGAGAAAGTCTCAACCATAAAAGAGAAAAAGAGTGACAATATGGTTTTGACCATGAAAACTGAATAAGACAATACATATTTATCATCCAATTATTTAGTGGAATTTTTCTTATATATGAGGTCTTTTACATTGGTTTTTGTCCTAACTGATTGAATAATTTGAGACCAAAATACATAGTTTGTTTAATTTATTATATTTTTAATTGATATCATTTGTTTCACATAGACCTAAAATTGGGTCATCTAAAAAGTTTGTGACTGTAGTGACTCCACACATTTTTATTTCTTTATTGATCCAAAACTATGAAACTATATTTTTGTATGAATATAAATAAGATATTTTGTTTATTATTTTTAATTTTTTATTGACAATAATAAACACATTTTTATTATAACACATGCTTTTTTTTCTTAAGAGAATGGCAAGAAATATTATTACTACTAAATTATTGCAATAAAAAACTCTCTTTTCTTATCTTATATAATAAATACTCATTTTATCAAAATGAATTTTACTCTTTTTATAATTTATATGATACAATTTAAATGTATTTTTTATTAATGTACATTTTTAAAAGTTATATTAAATTACATTTTGCATAAGTTACATGTAAAAATAAGTAATTTCTTAGTGACATGAACATAAATAATTGTTGGCATGTTTCTAACTTTACAAATAGTGATTTATCTTGCATGTTATTATGATCACCACCGGACTTATTTTGCAAACAAATGAATTACTGAATTTATTTTTTCAATTAGAAAAGTGTGGAAAAATATAATAATGAAAATGGAGTTATTTTTGTATTTTTTTCTTTGGTACATTTTTATAATTATAAATGACTCGTATTTGCACATTTTTATTTGAATTATTCTATATCAAATTATCTATAGAATAGAAATAATGTCTTTATTTATTTAAAAATGATAAAAAATGTTATTTATGACGATGATAATGAATATAATGCGGCCAGTAATAATATTTATATTTAAAAAAATAATTCAACATATATAATAAATAATATTTTCATCTACGTCATTTTTAATATCAAGCCGCGCAACGCGCGGGTGCCATATTAGTTGTTTTATTCATATGGCGCATAACTTTTCTAAAGAGAAACAATAAATGTTGAGAGTAATGACTGATGCAATAAATGCTGCACAATGATGCAATCATTTTAACTATACAGTGCCACGAAAAAAAAAACTCGAGTGATTGTTCAAATAAATGACATCTTCACTTTATACCTAACATCAGTTCCTACGCTTAGTAAAAACAATGCCAAACATTTTTGTATATATGCTAGAAGTTGTCTTTGGCCCGACGTATTGAGCCCAAGGCCTCAGCATCCTCTGCAGACTCGGGTATTTTGAGGGACTTCCGAATTTCCGCACTTGAAGTCCGAAGAAATGGGTTGCATAACTTCTCCTTTCTCAATGAGGTTGGGATCTGTCGAAAAAGCCAAAATAGCCTCAAGAAATGTAAAATCAAGTTGCACAAAAATGGGAGCCATAATATATATATAAATCTATTTGCAGATTGAACTAGAAAAACAATCATATAACTTGGAACAGATAATTAGCATATGGTTTCTCGACGATATAAAGCAAGGAGTTTTACAATATTGAGACATTATCTGGAAAATAAAACATTAAAACTAGGAACATTAAAAGCGGAATCCAACATTAAAACTGACGTAAAATGCATTAGATAATAAAATATACCGTTGGCATTCCCTTTTCGCGAAGACGAGCTACAAGGGTAGCATAAGACTGCAGTTCTTTATTTCCAGGTTCTATAGATAGTGCAAACTTTGCATTACTCTGACAATTATAGACACACACTATCAGATTAGCTTGAAAAAGAAGGGTGGAAAAAGGGAAAAGAGTTTACGAAACTATAAATTAATACGCAACTTACCAAGGTGTACTCGTGACCACAATATATGTTAGTATCCTCTGGTAGTGATGTAATCTTCCTCAGTGAAGAAAGCATCTGTTGGCAAAGTATACACAATAAGCTCATATTCTACTTATTGGGAACTGCAGATACATAATCAATCATATTAGGACAATGGAAATATGGAATTAATACTGGTAACAACCAGCTAACACAATAGCCTGTTTGTCCTCAATTTTTTCTGCCAAAGGACCACATAAGAAAAAAAAAAAAATCTGAATTATAAACTGTAAGGGTCCAGTGCAGCAATGCTAGCATATTTTTTAACACAAGTAGTAGAGATAAAAGTCGAAACATTCTTTAACGTATATCTCAAGTATCTGCTTAAATGGTCTCAAATAGACCAACTACCTAGGTGAGTATATCGATGTGTCGCAATACTGATTAGATTAACGTACTGCTAGCATTCAAGCCAAATCTAATACTAAAAACAGAAGATCAACTATGATGAGAAAACCCAATGGTGCAATCTTTAGAAGCAGTAGAATGCCACAGACCATAAAAGTCAACAAGCAGCAAGCCAACAAGATGCGAGTTCTAAGTTTTAACATTGTGAGCTGACATAGAATAGAACAAGTCATAATACAATTACCTGCTCGGGAGTTCCTTCAAAGAGATTACCACATGATAAACTGAATAATGTATCTCCAGTAAAAATCGACTTTGATCCCGGAAAGTAGAATCCAATATGTCCTGGATGTCAATAACCATAAAAGGTCAGAAAATATAATGCATTCATAAAGAGGAATAATATAATGGTACTTAATGGGGGCAAACCAAGCTTCTAAATTTCTAATTACCAACCCAGCCAATGAAAATAAAATTGACGTGCTCTAAACGAAAGCCAAAACATAGAGAGAAATGGCATAGGGTGAGCATTCCATTTAACATCACTTAATCTAACGGATGGAATTTCTGGTTTAGCTGATCTGAGCATTCCATTTAACATCATTTCTACTTATGTTCAGATATATTATTTTCCTTCTTGTTCAAACTTCAAACTCCCAAATTTTTGCTAGGCAGTCAGCAACTTCTCTGTAACCTTTTTAGTACCATAAACTAAGTCCAAATATTATTCAGATCGAATAAATTTAAGTTACTGCAAAGGCCAACTCCAACAATAGGTCAGGTGAACTCATACATTTGTCTCATCAAAGCAAAACAAATGACAAAAAAAGAAGTTTATCACTGAAGCAAGTGCAACCTCGTGTATGACCAGGGGTTGCTATCACATGCACCTCATGGCTGGCAAACATCCATTTGTCTCCATCATTCAAGACTATGTCAATTCCAGGAATTCTATCCATGTCTATACCTGAACCAATAACCTACAAAAGTGCACTTAGAGTTAAGTATTTTTATATGCTAGTAAATAGGACAATTATCCAGGTAAAATAGAATAACTTACGCCACACATACAGTTACTCGCACAACCAATACTTATAACCATGAATATGATACTGAGATAGAATATTCAAGAAACTAGGCATTAGCAAAATTTAGAAATCACTCCAACAGTGTGCATGTCACATAACCATTTAGAAATAGCTAATCAGGAAAGAAAAGCATCCAGCACACCAAGAAAGATAAGTATCCAGCAAACCAAGAAATATAAGCATCCAACAATTCATTTGTAAAACCCAACTATAAGTCAGAAGGCTAACTGAATGCAGATGACTTTTTAATGTACAATGGACATTTCATCAAAATGTAGTATCATCTATACAACTGCTCTATCAAGACTTTGAAGTGAATATGAGGATCCAACTCCATCAGATACGTTCTTGAGTCTCAGATACATTTAATAAAAAAATAAAAATTAGATCACAAGTGGCTAAATGATTTGGTGCTCATCAAATATAAAAGGGCCTTCAATGCCAATATTTGATGAGAGGTAAAATTCATCCAAGTGCATTGAAGATAATGATGAAAGTACTAAGCGTTGGTTGGGAGTACTGAAGTAGAGAGGAAGATTTGTGCCTGGGGACGACTCCAAATGGAATCATGTTGCTACAGCCATTGGTGTTGAGGTTGGTGCTGATAAGGAGAGTGTTAGGACTAGATCAACTTCAAACGGTGCATTTTCTAGGGCAACATCTTCATCATTTAGGCTTATAGATGAGAAGGAATGGGCGGAACTTGAAGGTGCCGACAATGGAGAGAATACGATGTGGATGGGTACTGACGGGTGCTGACAATGACTTTGACTGGAGTTGGTTTTGTGAGGATCTAGTTGTTTCTGGTTTTATTTTATGTTGCTCATGGACTGATGTTGCCTCTTTGTTAAATGCTGCTTTCTGTTCGGACTCGGTTATGTTTATGTTGGATTTCAAATGTGTGGCCTTGGTTGCATGTTTATCGGCTATCATATTTTTGTTTGAGACTCATAATCTATCTACTATATAATTAGACAACTCACTTTCTATATTTAGTAAGTTTTTAGTGGGTCCTACAACAAATTTTCTATTTTTAGAAATTTAACTGTGTTGCCACGTCTTACAAGCTTATTAATATTTTATTTGGAAGGTACGCTTTAAATTTTTCTTTTTGTTTAGAAAAAGAGTTTAGTATGTATTTTTGTTGTTGTTGACTACCATGATTAAATAAATATTCATATGGAAAATGCAATAATGTATTCGGTTGTTCCACAACATAGTATGAATAAATTCACTTGATAATTAAATATAAAATTATCCACTTATTAATCATTTTGTCATTTTTTTTTGTGATATTTTTGCAGCTCTTTCTCCACATATTTTTAATCAATTTCAAAATAGATTATTTTGTAGGTTTGAATTAATTCAAAACAAATTGATCCATCAATTTTCTTTTTGTTCAGTCAGATTATTAATAAATTTAATGGAAATATAAAAATAATTGTTTATTTCATTCAATTTTTTTATTAGGGCTACGGTAGTTTATTTGAGTGGGCAATTACAATATAATCAGTTATTTGCAATGGATGAGTAACCGTTATGTGGTGGTTTCATATTTAATTAACTAAATAAATTTATTCACAAGCAATTTAACCGTATATAGTTGTGGGTGAGAATTTTATATTTTATCACAAGTTTTATAATTTGTGTCATTGTTTGCTTTAAATTTCTTAAAAATGTATGACTGCATTATAAGCAGTTTCAATTTCAATACATTAATTTTTACTTATATAAATTTTTTGTTTATTGAAGTTACAAAAGACTATAATTTTTCCAACTGGTTTAGATCTGGACAGATGATAAAATTAAAAAAAAAAAAAAATTGTATAGTAATTGTTTTTGTTAAATATATTGGAATGAATTGTTTGTTTCCCAATTTGTTTCAATTAATTCGCTCTCAATTTGTTTCTTATGTAATTATAATTTTTATTTTTTTGATTCTGATCAACCTTTTATTTTGATTCTTATTCCAGGTGAATTAAATATTGATTAATTAAATATTGATTGACATAATTTCATAAATTTCCTTGATGATTTTACTATGCAAAAAAAAAAAAAACTAAATATCTTAATGTATATAATTTTTCAGTGATATACTATGGTTATTTGTTATTATAGTACAACACAACCTTTATTTTTACTTATTACATAATTCATCTAAGTATTCCCGTGCAAATGCGCGGGCAACAACACTAGTTACGTTATAATTGATTAATTGTCCATAAGTCTCTATTTTGCTTATTGGCTCGCCGCACTTCAATAAGGCAGGCACCTCGCCCTTCCACCTTGGAAAATAGGCTTGTTGGCTCATCTGTTGTATGACTATTCAATCAGGGTACCCTTATTTACGTTGTAAACACATCTTATTAATTAAAACACTCATCTAACTTATTGAGCAATTTTTCCAATTGCTACAAGATCATCAACAGGGACCGAAAACAGTCACCTCAATTATCTTCTGCAACGACTACCGTTTCGGAAAAAAAAAAAATTATCTTCTGAAACATACATCGCCTACTATGTGCAATCTCCCCATTCCTGCATGCGGGAGCGCTAAACCTCTTAACATTTACGAACTAATTGTTCTACACTTCTTACTTGGTGTAGCTTGTTACATGGGTCGTGAGTGGGAGCTTAGTTTCCGTCTGGGTATGCGACCTTGGATTGCTGTTGCATATTCAGCTCCTGTTGCAGCTGCTACCGTTGTTTTCTTGATCTACCCAATCGGTCAAGGAAGTTTTTCTGATGGTATGCCTCTAGGAATTTCTGGTACTTTCAACTTCATGGTACTATGCAATCCCTTTTCGGGAGGTGAAAAATAAGGTGAACTTTACGCAATGTAGTGATCATTAGGAAGCTAGTGTAAGGTAGGTAGCGGAACCTCTAAACAAAAAGAAAGATGCCAATACCTTTAGCCAGTCTTCATCCAATGTAGTGATCTCAGCATCCTGCTGGAGAAACCGAAATTACAAATTGTTTGTCCCTTACACTCCCTACACTTCTTTGCTCTATTTGTGCATCTAAGCATATACACACGGGAAACTAGGCTTCTATACCAAATAGTCCCAATTGCAAAACATGAAATGGAATACTAGTTCCTCGTTCTTTCTCCTCAGAGCCAAGGTTGTCTAATCCATCTTATGATGAGTCATAGGTCATCATGCACACGACAGAACTCCTATGTATCATATGAAGAGGGAACCATAATCATTTGACCAACAAGCTTCGGTTTGTGAGACAACCAACCTTAGGAACTTTGTCTGTAGCAGCATTCCTCCAATCCATTGTAATCGAAGCAGATAATAAGGGTGAGATCCTATACTAGATATCTTACAATCAAGTTACAAGAGTATTCCAAACTACATCCACGGCTACATTGGTTTTGTAGGAGGGTATAGTTGAAAACAAAGAACACATAGTTGCTTTTTCATGCATTTGTATTTGATATAACATGCATGCTTTTATTCAATTTAATGCACTCCTCTGTCATGATGCTACAAAAGGTTTGAGTATATCATACCTTAGCACCGTACCTCTCTTTCAAATCTATGTTGCCACCAGTGTGATCATAATGATGATGGGTGTTCAGAATGTAATTCAAATTCCAATTTTTCTTGTTCAGTGCATCTATAACAGGTACTGCTTCAGAAGGATCGACTACTCCAACAGTTCCAGTATCAAGATCATGCAATAGGTAAGCATAATTATCTTGAAGGCATGGTACCTAAAAGAGAAGGGAAAATGAGCAAAATACATGTAAATCATGCAGTTAATCAAATACATAAATACACACACATATATATAGTATGTCGACAGGTCCACAAAAAGCTTCAACAGCTAGTTTAATCAAAAACAGATACAAAACTACAAATTCATCCACATGGAAAAATTGAAGCAAGAAACAGGTACAGTAAAAAATCAACTTCCAGTTCATCCATTTATATTAGTCTAGTGCAGTGCCTCTGTTTTGTTGATTTACCAAATTAGGCAACATATTCAGATCAAGCAAATTTTAGAGTTACCAGTTAGCTTGGATATCAATACAGTACAGGGTTATTAAGAACAATTTGGGGAAAATTTCACTCTACCGACGTTTTTATACATCTTGTTTATTTCTTCTTAAAAAACCATTACATGAGTCAAGTCGAATTGGGGAGGGGGGTGATGGACAAGCAAAATAGGTGACAAGATGTCCTCGTACAATGGGAAAATTCTTCTTATTCTTGAGACTTGTGGATTTGTGCAATCATCAATGTCACAGAAAAAAAAATACTAATAATTGTTTCAATTTACCAGTCAAGACACATGCCTATTAACTATTAAGAAATTTAATTACAATCTCCAGTCATTGATCTCAACCTCAAAGTTTTTAAGAGCCCCACAGAGAACCAAAAAAAAAAAAAAAAAAAGAATTCCCAATTTTTAATCTGCTCCAAAAGTTCAGTGTTATAACTAACGTATTACCATTAATTTTCCAAAAAAAAAATTACACATAATTTTTTTTTTCAATTAATATGTTTATTATATGTCATTAGACCATCTCCAGGGTTTGGGAGATGCCACCCAATTGGGTGGTACCCCAACCTACTTTATACACACATATACCACTGGTGTGCAGATATGTGGCTAAGCCAGCTGAGAGTGGCATCGATAGAAACCATCTCCAAAAATGGATCTCAAATTTGAGATCTCAAAGTTGCTCCAACTACATGCATTAGTCTTACTTCTAGTTATGTCTAATTTTGAGACCCATCGCAAAAGATTTCAGCCTATCACCCTCCCAATGGGGTGCAGATATGTTCTTTTCTTTTCTTTTTTGCCTACTGGTTTAAATCTAAGGGCCAAAAATTACATAAAAACAATCACATAAATAAACAATCCAATAGTTGTTTTTAGGATCTTGACAAATTTGAGGATGAGTCCCAACTCTGGACATCTCCAATGAAGATGGAGAAGGCCTTAATGTACCATTGTTCATATTTTCTTTTATGAACATTTTTTCTATAAATAAATAGTTTGTTATTTTTTGCCATGGTAACTGGTGTGCGTGTGTGTGTATACATGCTACTTTTAACTTATCTAACTTCAACTACCACTCTTCACAAAAACTCACCTACATTCTAATACCTGCAATTACCACACACACTCAGTCACTCACCTACATGCAATCCACTTATGTATTATTCTATTTATTGTTTGTCTTCACGACTTATACCACTCACAACCACATTCATTCACTATAATTTATAGCGATTCAATTTTACCTTTATAAATCTGAAAATGGAAAAAAGAACAAAAATGTTGAATAATGGGAAAAGGAGAGCCAAAAACGGCAAAAGATATCTTAATATATATAATAAAAAAAAAGGAACAAAAACTTTAAATATGTGGAAAAAAAGAGCAACAATCGTTCAAAAATGTGAGCCATATACCTCCGCATTAAACATATATATTAAAATAACAATCCAGCAGGAGCCCTCACCAGCCAGGGGGTCCTGTGCAACAGCACCAACGTGACCACCCCAGGGATGGCTCTGGTCAAGCATGACACTGTAACATCTTTAGAAATTAAAAACTGGATTTTGAGGGATGCAAGCAACTCAATTCAGTGCTTCGTACAGGTCATTACACTCAAACAGTGCAATCCATTCTCTTACACCCAACAAAAATAAAAATAAAATAAAAAAATTGATAGGTATAGTCAATATCATCATCAACTTTATTTTTAAGAGTATAAGGTAAAGCACAAGTGATAAAAAGCCAAGGTTCACAAGTCACAACAAGGCTGGAGGACTCATCATCTTGATGGAATTCACAAAGTCTAGCTGTGATTAACTTCGGAGAACAGAAAACATTAATCAAAATCTGTGCAACCCAAGATGCTCTCTTTACTGAAGATCACATATTTCTGTAATTCAATGAATTCAAAACTCTGAAATTCATTGATCACACAAAAAAATAATAGCAAGTTGTATTACTTTAGACCAGTTAGATTTTATTATGGCTCACCAGCTCAATTTGCAAACTTGATGAAATATTGGTCACGCTGCAGAAACGAGATACTCCCCCAAGACTCCGACTGACATGACGCACAGTTTTGAATGGAATAGAAAAGAGTCTCATAAACCCATACAAAAGAGACTTTCTCAAGCAAAGTTGTCCCATTCCAGGCCAAACACATAGCTCCGATCCCTTCTGAAATAACAGAACATACACGGTTATGCATAGAACCAAAAAGACAAAGCCATTCAACTGTTTATATACGTCAAGTAATTAGAATAGCGAAGGATCCCGAAACCGAATACACAAACATCTAACTCGAGGCATATAAACATAACTATACAACATACAAAATGAAATTTCAACCAACCACGCACCTTATCAGATTTCAACCAAAATCATTAAAGGCAAATGCTACAAAATACACAGTAGAAAGCACTTAATGATGCTAAATGCAATTTGTAGTAATTGAACTGATTCTTTTCGATTGAAAGGGCAAAAAAAAAGGTACGATCTAGGGATTTACGGTTCAAGGAGATCCCAACAGCTACATATAACATCAATATACGTAATTTTTCATCATCTTTCAGATTGCAACAAACAAAAAGAAAACACTGATCGCATGGTGCCTCAAAGCGCTACGCATAATTACAGAAAACAATACAGAATTAGCACGCATATAGAATAAATAAAGAGAAATAAAGGAGACCCTGGAGCAAGGGAGGGACACCATGGCCTTGGGCGCAGCTCTACACAGCATCATCATCTGCATCATTTCATGGCATATATTCGCCTTTTTCTTTTGCAGTGGTAGAGAGAAGAGAGAGAGAGTGCAGAGTTCACACCCAAACACGGCCTTCAATTATTATTATAGGTTTTTGGGAGTGTGTGTGTGTGGGGGGTTATTTATTTCGTTAATTGTTGACAGCTATGGGACATTGATGACGTGTCGCCTACTTTTTTTTTTTTT